TTTTCAAAATTAACAGATTTTAATGAAATTGTGGCTTCATTGAACACTCGTATCGACAAACTGGAAGCTGAAGTTATCACATTAACTAACTACAGTGCTTGGTTACTTTGTAAGTGAAATACTTGGCATTATTTTGATAATGTCACAATTCTTTTGCTTTCCAAATCACTGACTTCAATCATCGTTATCTACATTACACAGATGTTACCAATGCAACAGCAGGCTCTACTAGTACCACTACCAGTGTCACAAGTACCTGCTAATATCCCATCACTTGCTACTACACCATCAACAGTTGTCTCTACATCACCTATACCAGTCTCTTCAGTATTTATACCAGTGTCTTCATCATCGAAGCCAGGAAGTGCAGTTCAGGCAGTGCAGCAAGTAGCACCTCCAATATTGGAAGACAAGAAGTGAGCCTTGCAGTTGAGGCCTACTTTGGCAAGGAGCTTCTGAAGCAGTGTACATTATATGGCTTCAACAACAGAGCTGCTTTATCAAAACACCAAGTATTAGCATTGAAGACCAAGCTACTAAACCCCACAGTACCTATCTTCAGCAGTTGACATTGAGCCATTGTGGAACAAGTGTGTGGCAGCCATTGTGGAACAAGAGTGTGGCAGCCTTTGTGCAGCTGGATTTTGTGCCAAGAAGTTATTGAAATAGACTGCTGAATTATTGACAATATCATATATATTGTAGGTACTGATTAATTTATTAATAAGAATCTGTATATTTGATTACTTGAAACATCAAAATACATATAGGTATTGAAAATTGAATTTAAGTCACTGAATGAGTCAAAATCTATTGTTATTAATTGTATTACATGTGCTGATGCACCCGATACATACAGGAAATAACATCATAATAATATTGTCAGACCTATTGAAATATTCGTGAAATATGGTTGTACAACTGCTCGTGAGTGCCTCATGTGGTGCATGTAGCAAGTAGGCAAACTAGTATCCATAGCTACTGATATACCATCCACTAACAATTTCTACCCGCAGGTGGAAAAGGACAAAAACTTTAAGGACATTTATGAGATGTAAAAGACAAAGAAGTAACTGGTTCTGGTTGCTACATCAAGAGAATGATTCAATTCCTGCTGATGTAGAATTACCACAACATGAAGACAGGTTAGAGCGGGTTAGAGTTAGCGGAGGGCTATATATATATAATGCATACCACTGAGTGACTCAACTTTTTAATGCAGAGAACTCTCAGATAATGAATCAGACATGGATCTATCTGATAATAATGATAATGATGACAGACTTTCTCGGAGCTATGCTGATCGATGTGCTCACCAATGTGAATTATGGGAAGAAGCTATACCACATCTTGTATCGATAACTACCATAAGTAACTGTATTAAGTCAGATGCATTATGTACGGAATGTCACGGTAGGGCACACCTGCGCTGTTTGGATTGTGGCATTGGTATTGACTACTGTGAGTCTTGTTGCAGAAGTGTTCACGCCTCACATCATATCTATCATACTCCTGAATTTTGGACAGGTTATAGGTTTATTCCTGCACAACTTTCTAACATTATCATTGGAAATGACCATACTTGTCTGACTAGCTATACTGAGCAAATAACAGTTATTTCATTAAATCGTAAGCTTGCATTACATAGTATTATATGTATGTTGCATCTTTCATGTAGAACGTCACTACATCACAATATCATACTGTATGTGTTGTACAAAAATGGAAAGATTAGTAGGGTTAAAGTTATGGCCAGCTACACCACATTCTTCACAAATTGCTTTTTCGTTTTATTGATGGAACTTATGCATTCATTAATTTTGGAATGTCAGGTATAGCTACTGGATATTGCAAAAAGGTAGATATGCCTTCCTCTGTTCAACGAAATGAGGTATATACACTAAGTTAATTATTTAAAATTTGTGATTGAAATTTTTGGATAAGAAGTCTATATATCAGCTTTTAACGTCATCTTTTCCTTACTATAGGTAAGTATTAGATTTATATTATGTACTTCTATTTTATATGGAGCATATAAACAAAATTTCCCAAGAAATATTCATGGAAGACATAAACTGTTCTGCTTGCTCCTTTACAGTATGACTATGGATTCTGCAGTTTTAATTATTGTTTTTAGGATGGAGGTGGTCCTATTTTTATATCACTCAATGCAAATTTTTGACTATGTAGAAGAAAAGGCTGCTCAAACAATGAGGCACAATACACCACTTTTCGAAGGTAGATTTTTAGATCAGAAGTCAGTTGATGAATATATTGAAAGTTTTTCTCCACCTGAAACAATGTAAATAATCTTATATGTGTATACATGTACATGTATAATTGTATATTACATAAATACTTAGGCTTCTTGTAGTCAATTTCGAGCTGGTAATGTGTTGCATTGAAGCAAAAGATGTGAAGCTTTGGAAGAAACAGGAGTTTTTGGAGCAATGTGTCGTCATGACTTACCAATCAAAATGCTTAACTTAAAACATGGAGAAAGGTGGGTCAATAATTATATAGCTATGATTAATATTTGTATAGACTAGGCTATGCTGATTTTATTTTAAAAGACTTTGAGCATATCAGTTCATCTCCTGTAAACTTGCTTTATGATGTTGGCTGTAAACTTGTGCTACACTGGAAGGTAACATATAATCATACATGTATGTATACATGTAAATCATGTTTAATTTAGGCAAATAACCATACTTCCTTACTTTCAAACTACAATGTCAGTGTACCCATATTTCATTCTTATGCTCATATTGCATCGTGCCAAGCTAAGTATTCTCCAAGAAATAAAGAAGGATTTGGACTATGTGATGGAGAAAACCTTGAAAGATTATGGTCCTATTTAGGAAAGTTTTGTAAGATGACTAAAGAGATGAGCATAGCAAACAGGGTAGATGTATTAACCGATGCTTTAAATCACTTCTCCAGACAAAAGATTACACGATTATGTGATTAAAAGTCATTCACCTCCTTTCTATATTATGCATACATTTTAGGCATTTCTTTTGTTGAACGTATGGACATAGCATCAAAAGTATTAGAATCTGAAACTGATTTTTATTCTCTACTGCAAAGTTATAACATTAATACTAACCCATGAGAGATAATCAAATGTTTAGTAGATGAGGAAAATAGGAGATTTTTGTATGAGGATGCTAATGATGGCAATTTAGGTATGAATTGAATTTGTTGTAAATAATAGATGATCTTCTTTTGTACAGCAGTCAATGATTAATGGAAACATGATTATATTGACAAATTGGAAAGGTTAACTTTGTTGAAGTACATTTTAAAGTAATAGTAATTTTTAACTTGATGTTTGGTTTAGGCAGTGTTGGATAAATGCTATTTCTGGCCTACAAATAAGTCAAGAAACAATGCAAGTCACGGCACAACACTTAAGATAATTTGTAATGCTTGTGACTTAAGTAAGTCACATCGCTTACATACATATTTAGACTAGAATGTACCCTTTCTACCATTGAAGGAGAACATCAGATTGTTGGTAGATGGACACCAGATTGCCATGAGTATATGGAAGTTATTGCTGCCAAAAAGATAAGTGCTAGAGAAAAGGTGAAAGCAGAAATCAATAATGTAGTCAAAGAAAGGGCATTCTACTTAAACACTATAGCCCATCATGCAGGTACCGTGTATGTTTATAAACTTTATATGTATACAATAACTGTGTACTGTTAATGTATTATTACTGTTATCATTTAGGACGCGAAAAACAAGCCAATAGAGTTATGAAACTGATATCAAATTATAGTTCAAAAGTAAATAAGCTTTTTGATGAGTATCAATCACTACTGCCTAGCAATCACTATGAGACACCACCTAATATTACTGATGTTTTTAACTTGCAATCACCTTTCTGGAATCAAGTTGATAATACTGACTACAC